TGTGGGTTGTCTTTTCACTCTTGTTCCATTTATCTTTTATAGCATTTATCAGTTCGTATTTATAATTTTAAAATATTTAGATTAGTGTCTGTCTCCACCATTAGAATGTGAACAACATTAGAGTAAGGACTGTATCAATTTTTGCTCACTTTTGTATTTCTAATAGACCTAGCAGAAGTGCTCAATCTTGTTGAATAAATGAACTAAGTTCCTTTAAGTTATTTTATGAATTGTTTTGTTGACCTATTCCATCTTTTAACCAAAGTGTTTTTCACTTATCATTGCTTTATATATAATCATTAATTTCACTCATTACTCTTTTTATTTTTATTTATTTATTTTTTTATTTTTTTGTCTTTTGTCTTTTTTTTTCCGTGTCCGGCAACGGATCGCAANTGTTGCGCCCGTACCTTGCTCAGCCAGTGAGCCGCCGGTCTGTATGTGGGATCCAAACCCTCGGCGGGAGCGCCGCCGCGCTCTCAAGCGGCGCACTGTAGCAGTGCGCCACCAGGCCAGCCCCAAGTAGTTCATGTTTTAAAATGGCACCTTTGTCTTATTCTAAGTTTCAGTAAAACCTTGGATCAGTTTGTGTATAGTCTATTCTGATCCATTTTTCTACTTAACTATTCCTATGTGTGACTTCATTTTAAAAAGTTAAATCGCTCATGCATCTAGAATTTATTTCGGTGTAAGGAATGAGGATATGGAGGGAGCCACATGTCCCAACACCATTTATGGAATAATTCATCTTATAATTTGTCTTCCTCCCAGTGATTTGATATGCTGTTATCAAAACCTATGTATTTCTACAGTGAGCACCATTATCACTGACCTATGTAAAGAGCATTTTAATTGGGTTCTCTGTATCTACTCTGGCTTCCTTCTTACCAGTTTTCAGTAGTGCAGCCAAGGTGATCTTTTCAAAACACACTAGGATAAAACCGTTTATGGGTTTCACAGTGCTCTTTGGGTAAAGACCTGTAGTGTATTGAATTATGTTCCCCCACAACTCATTAAAGCTTGAATTGTGTCCCCAAGTTTTACGTACTAGAAACTTAGCCCCCACTGTGACTGTTAAGAGGGTGGGAAATCCTATTATGGTAATTGAAAGGTGGAGACTTGAAGAGATGATTGAATTGTAGGATCGTGCAGTAGTGAATGGATTAAAAAGGGTGGTCAGGAGCATGATTCTGAGGGCTTTATTTTTATTATTATTATTTTTTTCAAAAGATGACCGGTAAGGGGATCTTAACCCTTGGCTTGGTGTTGTCAGCACCACGCTCTCCCAAGTGAGCTAACTGGCCATCCCTATATAGGTTCTGAACCTGTGGCCTTGGTGTTATCAGCACCGCACTCTTCCGAGTGAGCCACAGGCCGGCCCCCTGAGGGCTTTAAAAGAAGGGATGAGTCTTTCTGCTCTGTTCTGCTCTCTCTGCTTCCACCATCTTGCAATGTGAGACCCCTGAGTCACTGTCGCCACCACCACATGGACTTTGGACTTCCTAGCCTCAAAAACTACAAGCAATAAATTTCATTTTCTTTATAAATCACCCAGTTCCGTGTATTCTGTTATAAGCAACAGAAACGGACTAATACAATATTAATGAGAAATACCTGTTTTATGACATGGGAATGGAGTGAGGTAATAAATATGTAAGTTAAGAAAAGGGCCACATGGGCAGATATCCCATAATAATATATATATATTTTTGGCTGCTGGCAAGTATGGGGGTCTGGACCCTTGACCTTGGTGTTATGACACTGTGCTCTAAGCAACTGAGCTAACCGGCCAGCCTTCTTGATAAATTTTGATGAAGATTTTTGCTGTGAAAATTTCTCTTATTGTAACCTGAAGACGGAGTGTTCTTTTTTCAAAATATTTTTGACTATGCAGATGAGGAATTTGATACTTAAAGAGAATAAACAAAACTCAAGTCTTGCAAATAAGTATTCAACGATGTGTTAATTGCCCTGAAGTCCAGAAACATTAGGTAACCTACCCAAGATCTCACACTGAGTTAGAGACAAAGTCAGGACCGGATGCCAAGACTCTTAATCCTAAACTATGTCCCTTCACTATTTTATGAAATGACTTTAAACCCGGAATTCTATTCCTCTTTAAAACTTAGTGTTTTTAGTTATAGTCTCTCACTATTTTCTTCTGTTTCTTTAAAAAACTTAATGAGTTATATACATTTTAGCAACTATTTCTGAAAATTTTAAAGGCATTAAAATTTATTTTTCTTGAAATGTTGTTAATGACTTGTTTTTAATCTTACACTATTTAAAAAAATCTAGAATTCTTAATAATTTGCCTTCTTTGAATAACTA